AATTGTTCCTACAGTTCATAGGTACAGCTATCGTTGGTCTCAGGTTGAAAGATAATGGCGAGAGTGGTCGAACTGCTTGTATAGAGGTGATGGATTTTCCGTTTCATTGAAATGATTCTGTTTTCAGATGATTAAGGAGTATCCCATAGAGATGGATACCTTACATGGAGTCAACTTCATGTTCACCAATAACATAGAATTTATAATAGCCATGGTTTTTATATGCACATATGCTGTCTTCTATTTATCTGTCGCAAGTATCTGTGGAGTAGTCTTATACATTAGCATCAGGGACCAGGGGAAGTCGACGCAGTCTGCTCAGTTCTTAGCCAATCAGCGTAGAATTTCTGTTGGCATCATTTACTACGTAAGGGGGAAAGGGCAGTGAAAATCTGAAGCTCTGATTCAGGGAGTTGTGGAGTTAGTCGGGGTGGGTGTTCCTGTTGTTATGCTTGGCTTGGGTTTCGTTTTAAATATCGGCAACTACGGTAGATTCACTGTTCCACAGTCAGTGCATGATACAGTCCCTGTTTTCAGTCGTCTCTCTTTTTTCATTAATATTACCATGCTTTTATCCAATTGCTGGTCCTTACTATGTTTTGATGTCCAACGTCGACTACAACAAGAGGGTGAAAGAGATAATCGCGAATGTCCGCTCTAAGCTCTGTTCCTCCCGTGCCAGTTGTTCATCAATCGTACAAAGTTTTTCTAAAAAGTGTTTTTCAGATCAAAAGGTCACGTCAGTTTCTAGTGTTTTGTTTGGAAGTACAACTTCGTAGTCACAGTATGATCTGAGCAAGGTAAGGAATCCTGCTTCCCAAATGGAGAGAACATCAGCTCTGGACCAGTCTTCCTATCTGATATTATTCAATATCATACGCTTTATGAAATATTATGAATGAGAAAGGTGATTGAAACTATAAAGATCTTTTCCTTTCATCTGTTGTTGCTCTCTCATGAACGAAGCTTATGTCTCGAAGTCATCTTCACACAACACTAGGCATAGCCAAGAGATAACCTCATCACATCTGTATAAGTATATCCGGAGTAGCTGAGAACTTCTTTTCTCTGGATCCTTGAATTGGGATGGATGACTTCTGAGCATATTATAATATTGAGGATGCAAGCCTACTGAACGGTTATGGAGGAGTGCAATCGTTCTGGACGATTTGGGTTGGAATGCAACCTCTCGGTGCGTTTCAGGTAAGACCGGGACTTGTCCAGGTCTCATCTCCGGCTTGTGAGCCGATGAGCTTTTTCTCCTCTCTGAAGAACCTCCAGAGAGAGAGGAGTGGAGCTCACCGGCTCACACCGCCAACTAACCTGATTGAGAAGCCTCACGGCTTATATACCCCCGTGGAAACGCGTCACGTGGAAATAATTTTTA